CGTTACTTTTAAAGTATATGAACAAGGGAAGCTATTTTTGAATTACATTATTTTTAGAAAGAACTTACACTCCATGAAAACTGTGCCGTCTAGTAGTATCATGTTATCCCCCCCAAAAAGCTACTGAAACACAATTGCGGTGTGATTTATCAAACACTGGACCAGATATCTAATTTATTTACTGAAGTACTTTACTTTGCGGTCGCATAGCGATCCTCATCAGAGAATCCGGGAAGTAACAATCGGAACATTCTTTGTCGGTCGGTATTTTCTTTGAATTAATTCATTAAGACATTTCGGGGGGTTAGTCAAAATAAGATAAAAAAAACAAAAATATTAAATGTTTTGAAGTTGTCTTCTTGGATGCTATACAATTGTAACAACCTACAGTACAAGAAAAAATTTGGAAGTCTTAGTCCTTAATTTATACTGTAGTTACACAATAATTATGTTTTATTTGATAAAACAATAAATTACATTCAGAGTATGACAGTACCAAGTACTTTGTATACTGCAAACTTTTATTGTAGCCAATTAAACACTGTCTGCATAAGGAATGGCATATACCATTGCTTACAATTATGATCTAAATTCACCTGAAATTTGATTGAGAACAGCTGATTTGAAAAAATGAGTCTCATGTCATTTAATAATTATTATATTTATTAACTGTTTAACCTAATTATCTTTCCTTCATTAATATGCAAAATAATATTTAAAAATTGCTGAATAATTATAATCAAATAATATTTTTGTTAATTGTAATCGAATAATGAATAATGACTCCAAATAACAGAAATTTAAAAAGAAAATGAGAAATAAGATGATTAGAACACACCTGTATAGTATACAATTTCATTTTTTTAATACAAGTGCTAATAGCTAAAGACGTAACGGTTCAACTTATATTTTTTTGGATCTTTACAAATTACTTCTTTGTTTAAAAGAAAACAACAACAAATTATACAAACTTACAAATTTTACAAAATAAATTATACACAATGAAAGGGGTTTCATATATTATTGTTACAAGCAGCCCGAAGTTGGGCAAGGCAGTTTGAAACGTTCTCTCTGTGTGCTTTGCATTGGAAAATATTTTGAAACGTTTTAAATCTTTAATTATATAAATATTCACCCGCTGGCTTTGCAAAAATTTCTTATTTATGTTTGCAAATATTTCAAGCTTTAAACAACAATTTTTGTTATAATTTTCTAGGAATGCCCGAGGCATGAGAGCACTCTTCTTAATGGGAAGGAAAGAGTGGTTATTAACATGTGAGAGTTTTCGCACGGGTATACTAGCTTAGAATATTTCAATAAACACAAAAAATTAACAGAACATGAAATTACCCTGCAGCATAAACTACTTTAACTTATGATAAATATTCTATCTCCCGCATCTAAATATTCCCTATTCCTCGTCACCCTCCGTGTTTAAAAATCGTCAGAAGGCGTTCGCTACCGAATCTGAATCTGACAAAATCATGGTTCCACAAAAAATGTCACGTCTGTTTTCACTTGTCTTTTAACTTTTCATAACCAAGTTTTTAATTGGCCTTAACCAGTCTGCAGGAGGACACAAATTTTGTTGTGACGCTTATTTCGATATTAAAAAGTCACCAGTTGTTGTCTATTCCTTTCTCAAATTCTTCATAAGAAGCAATCTAATAAAAATTTATATTTTAAACTCAGTCACGTTCCATTCATGAATGTATTTCTTTTCGAATACGAGTATTCAATGTCCAATATTTACAATAGATTCCAGCCTCGAACATTCTTGAGTTCTGAAATTTGTGTTGGAATATCGGGGTTTGTTTTCGTCGCGTCAAAGGTGGTTACCATATGACCTGTCTGCAAATACATTATCCCATTCATACATTGTCATTTCCGGGTTCCAGTGTCGTAAAATAAGTTATTGTTCTACTACATTTGAATCAAATTTTCCTTTGGATGTTTAAATATATCTCAACACATTGAGCATACTCTTTATTTTCATTCTAGAAGAACAATTTATTTACTTTAAAATTTTATTCCTTGACTTAATCTATCTATCAATTTACATTTGCTTAACACTTTAGATCAGGTAGCCTAAAGCTGAGAAAGTACTTGTATTTACTGAATGAACGTAGATATCTATCTATGGTTAGTCTTACAATAAATGATCTTACCAAATGAAACCCTAAAAGTGATCTAATTATTTTAAATTCCAAAGACCGAACGAGGTAAATTAAAATATATTTTCATTACCATTAATATTTTTGTATTTATAAACTATTTATTTTTAAATTAATTATAGTAGCAGTAAAGAAATATAGTTTTTCTATTTATTTTCATAATTATTTAATTAAGAAAAATACTCCAAATATTTAATAAGTAATATTTCAAATTCTTGTTTCAATACAAATAAAAATGGGTAAAAAGTAAGTGTGACACCGTGCAGTTTAAATATTCCAGTAGTGCAATGTAATAATATATACACAAGAAATCTTAAAGTATAGAAACTTTCACACAGAGAAATTTCAGCAGCTCTTTAATTCAAAATCACAGAACCTTTTTAACATTTATACAGTAAACTTAATATAATACATAGAATAAATTCAAAATTCATTCGAAGGCTGTAAAAGATTATTCATAGGGTAAGTGTTATTGTTACTGACACTAGCTTCTTTCAATATTTTTGCTTATGGTCCATTTATTATATCATATATCTGAACCTACATATTAATTCACAAGTCTTGTTGGCCGAGGTAATGAACAGGAGGGAACATGACTTGTTTGTCAGATATGTATTCTGTTTCACACTCTGAATTATTGACATTCACCATTGAAAACATAAGTGGTTCACTTACTAGTTTAATTCACATAAAACAACTGTCGATTTTCTGTACGGTGACGTATATTATTTTCACTCTAAGATTTTACTTATTCACTGTTATTTGAAATATCAATTTCAGACTCTTCACGCATTAATTAAAACAAAAAGATTAGAAAAAAATTAGAACACTGTTAAGAATAACTGCTGTCACTACTTTGAAAGTGTTATCTAGTATATCTGAATAATTAAAAGTTGGAAAGTCTCTCATAATACAGGAGTCACCAGGGCAAATAAATAGTTTTTCATTGAATAATATCAGGTAATTCAATATATAATTGGAACATATTCAGGGAGTTATTGATGTTACTGGCTAAGAAGGTTTCACTGAATTACTTATAACTAAATAATTCAATACGTTTTCCCAGACAGAAATGAACAAAACGTGCATTTAACACCCCACTTACTAACTGTTGAGGTAAACAAGAAAGCATTCAAATTTATATTACTTACCAATAAAAATCCTAAGATTTTGAAGAGACAGCTTGTATACAACACACAAACAAGACCGAAGAAGACCACGAATTCACACGGAATAACGGGACACACCGTGCACAGAATAAAGAATAACGAACCGGGTCTGGTCTCGGTCACATAAACGTACATGAGCATCTCAGGGCGCATCAATGCTCACCTTTAGTTGATCAATGAAAAACTGTTTTATTAATACTATTAGCTTTAAGGGTACAATTAGCTGCTAAGGGTGTCGTTCTCTACGAGTATCTCCCTGAAGGGTCCACACTGAACCGAAATTACTTTATTAAAGTTATAAAACGTCTAAGGGACGCCATCGTCGCAGAAGGCTAGAAATGTCACGTTGCGACTGGGTTTTCCATCATGATAACGCTCCAGCCCATTTAGTCCTCATAACTCGTTAGTTTTTGGCCATATTTGGCCACTGTTCTTCCCTACCCTCCCTTCTCACCTGATATTGCACCTTGAGACTTTTTTCTTGTTCCCCAAACTCCAAAAACTCTTGAAAGGAGGAAGATTTGAGACGATTCCCGAGATTAAGGCAAATGCAACGAAAGGGGCTGAAGGATATTACAAAAGAAGCGTTCTAGGAGTGTTTCAACAAATGGAAACACCGTTGGGAGTGCGTTGGAGAGGAGAGTACTTTGAAGGGGACCAAAACATCTAACTTGTAAATTAAATATATTTTGTTTTATGACGTCAGTCCGCGTATTTTTCGTACAGCCCTCATAGATTAATGTGTGACGAATTTATTTCGGCATTCTCCGTAAAAGGGCCCATAGTCCATAGTTTTAAAATATTCCCTACATTCTCAAGAAATAACGATTCAACATTTCAGACTGCATTCTCATGGCGGAGACCCACAAAATATAAAACTGAGCGCAATATTGATTTCTTATAAACTTGACTGGTTTAAATGTCTCTCCACTAATCTACTATTTTTGATATTATATTCAACTTCTCTGTTCAACACTTGAAATGCTTATTTTGTTATAAAGTCGTTAATCACGTGATCAACAGAATTTAAGGATGTGTCATTACGTCTGGTGCGAAAACTCCCTATTGTCTTTATGCCCGCCGCTCCCGCTATTTTCTTAGACTGTAAAGATGGCAGAAGAGATTCATGATAGAGATGTATGAACAACGAATAACGTAAAGAATGTATTTCAAACACAATCATTCTTGTTTAACGTGGGTCATGAACCAACGCCCTTTTGCTTTCAGATAAGGTACTTCTTGCTACAGTGGCCTCTAAGTGGCTTCTAAGGTGGGGTCAATTATTAATAACTTCTTGGCTGTCCGGGTGACGCCGCGTCGTTGGCTGAGAGGCGTTCCGCCTGTCATATCGCAGGCTTCCTCAGGGTAGTGGAAGTCTCAGTCAACGACGCGGCGTCACACGGACAGCCAAGAAGTCATGAACTCGAGCCGCGGAAGAGTACATTCAATCATTAATACTTTTACATTTCCTATAAGCAATCTACCTATCATTTATTGCTTCTCAGGAGTGGGAAGAAAGGGAAATCCGCCTCTTGGGGACGTAATTCCCCGCAAATTGATATCGGAAGTAAAACGCGCAATTTTTTGACTATGCCTTCGTCCCTGTGTGCGCAGACCACAGAGCCCCCAGTGACGGAGACGACCCTGCCGCCCGCAGCGACGGCGGCGCCACCGAAGCGGCGGCAGCAGCGGCGGCTGCGGCGGCGGCGGCGGCTGCAGCGGCGGCAGCGGCGCCGAGGCAGCAGCAGCCGCGGACGTGGCGCCGGAGGTGGAGGTGGCGCAGGGGCGCATGCGCGGGGCGGTGGTGCCCTCGCGCCTCGGCCGCCGCATCTACGCCTTCCGCAGCAATCCGTACGCGCAGCCGACCGGTCGGAGCGCTGCGCTTCATGGTGAGTCGCCACGCACGCTCCTTTCCTTTAGCAAGAAGCTCCTTTCCTTTAGCAAGAAGCTCCTTTCCTTTAGCAAGAAGGTCCCTTTCCTTTAGCAAGAAGCTCCTTTCCTTAGCAAGAAGCTCCTTTCCTTTAGCAAGAAGCTCTTTTCCTTTAGCAAGAAGCTCCTTTCCTTTAGCAAGAAGCTCACTTTCCTTTAGCAAGAAGCTCCTTTCCTTTACAAGCAAGAAGCTCCTTTCCTTTAGCAAGAGTCCTTTCCTTTAGCAAGAACTCTTTCCTTTAGCAAGAACTCCTTCTTAGCAAGAAGCTCCTTTCCTTCAGCAAAAGCTCCTTTCCTTAGCAAGAAGGCTCCTTCCTTCAAGCAAGAGCTCCTTTCCTTCAGCAAGAAGCTCCTTTCCTTCAGCAAGAAGCTCCTTCCTCAGCAAGAAGCTCCTCCTCAGCAAGAACTCCTTGCTTCAGCAAGAAGCTGCCTTTCTTCAGCAAGAAGCTCCTTTCCTTTAGCAAGAAGCTCCTTTCCTTTAGCAAGAAACCCCTTTCCTTTAGCAAGAAGCTCCTTTCCTTCAGCAAGAAGCTCCTTTCCTTTAGCAAAGAAGCTCTTTCCTCAGGCAAGAAGCTCCTTTCTTCAGCAGAAGCTCCTTCCTTTAGCAAGAAGCTCCTTTCCTTTAGCAAGAAGCTCCTGCTCCTTTAGCAGAAGCTCCTTTGCTTTAGCAAGAAGTCCTTTCCTTTAGCTCGTTTCCTTTCCTTTAGAAAGAAATTAACTAGTGGTGCTAAAACAGCACGTTCTTTCTCGCTCGTATTTGCATGCAAAATTACGCGAAAAGTACTCAAATTTTCGAAAAATCTTTATGGAAGAGATATTATAAAGGGAAAAATCTCTTTCTTTAATAGTTTAGTAGTAGCAAGACTCCGAAAAAAACTGAACTAATGAATGGCTAATGTAAAATAACATAAACTTAACTTCGAATTAACTTCTCCCCACAGCTAACATACATGTAACTTAAAATTAACTTCTCCCCATAGCTAACATAAATGTAACTTCGAATTAACTTCTCTTCATAGCACGTCACACGCAGTTCTTAATTGTTTCTGACGTAAATAAATAAACAAACTTTTGCAATTTTCGAAAAATCAGGGGTTTTAACGCAAATTAACTTGCACCATTCTCTTAAATGTCCTTCTTATGTCTCTTAAACACTATCCAAAAAGAAAATTTAATAAAATACAATGCTGTAATTTTTTTGAACATTTGGAAAATGTGTTTTGGTTTTCATCTAAAATACCCTCTAAAATGAAAATATCGGTTTTTAAAGGCCTTATTGTCATAAGTCAAATCGATTGAAAAATATAAATTGTGGAACAGTTAAGCTGCTAGCGTTGTTCACAGTCGGACGGCCAGACGTTTTGCCATCATTCGATTTTTAAGTGTGAAAATCAAAAAAAAAAACAAAATTCCTGCTACATCATGTACTATCTCTCTAACTCCGTAGCGAGAAAGTAAAAACGAATCAATGATTGTCTGAAAGCCGTCGAGTCCGGTTGGGGGCAAACCCCGTTAGCCGACAATTCGTCGGCGCCGGATCTCACCGTTCAGCGGGGGAAGATCACCGCCACCTCCTGAGGAAAACAAATGCACTAAACTTACGGGATTAGTGACCTCAGTCATTGACGCGCCCGGAATCATCAACCAACCAACGAAAAGGTTGGCTCTCACTTCTACCAGATGCTACACACACATGCACTACTCTACCACACATGCTGGGAGCTTAGAGCATGTCCAGGCTGGAGCGGTGTCTCGCTGGTGGGAGATACCTAGTTAGGGAAATCCCCAGTAGCCGACAATGGGTCGGCGCCAACGAAAAGGTTGGCTCTCACTTCTACCAGATGCTACACACACTTGCACTACTCTACCACACATGCCGGGAGATCGACCGGGAGCTTAGAGCATGTGCAGGCTGGAGCGGTGTCCCGCTGGTGGGAGATACCTGGTTAGGGAAATCTCCAGTAGCCGACGTGTAGGTCGGTGTCAGATCTCACCGTCCAGCGGAGGAAGATCACAGCCACCTGCCGCGATAAATCATGCACTACACTAACGGGATTAGCGGTTGACTCTCGCGGAATCACTAATCAATCACTGAGTAAATAAACGCGACGTGTGTTCGCAGGAGCCAGTGCCCGCCGGGCCGTGGGAGGGAGTGCTCGACGCCACCAACGATGGCAAGTTCTGCGTTCAGAAGAACTACTTGGTGCCGCCGTACCCGGTGACAGGTTTCGAAGACTGCCTTTACCTCAACGTGTACACGCCTAAGGTAAGCTTTGGCCATCTTTCTCATTTCGAGTTTCAGCGTAATGCCGCGCAAGAAACATTTCTTGTTATTTTCATCTACAGTATTTTAAAGAAAACGTTCTGCTAGAAAGAACGATTTATCTTAACATCGTTCCTCAGTTGAAACGAGTGCAGTTACAAAATAAATCATATTGAAATAGCGTGGCCTTTTTGAAGAATGAAGAAAATAATTCTTTTGAACATTTTTCTGAAATAATACAACCTGAATGGAAGGGTGACTTCCACTTAAGGCATTTGAGTGTACACTAATGATGACTATGCTTGATTTAATTTTTTTTGTGGCAATAATTGATTAATATTTAACTATTACGCGAATGGAATAGTATTTTGAGTTAACTTTCTTATCATTATTAATTTTGGAAGGGAAATGATTTTGGTATAATGTAGCTGTTCGAACGAGTTTCATTTACATTTTAATATTCAATATTAAACAATATTGATTATAATTGTTGTCCTAGTTACAAGAGCATTTAAAATCAACTGCCGTGACTTCAGTTGAACTTTTCAATCATGGTTAAAATCATTTTATTTCCAAACAGCTTCCCAATGTATGTACTGTGGTAAATCCACTTGTGGAGTTAACAACAAAAAGGACTGATGTTTGCAACGATCCCCAGCTCAATAAGGTAACAATGTGAACAGACTCAGTTGTTTGTTTGTGGGTCATACGTTCCAGTCATGTTACTTGTTTCCCTACTTGATACGTTAATTCCATGTACAAACAAATGTTGAATCCATACGATATTGCCTAGGTGTGTATGTGAATTCGTGTATCGGAGCACAAGTAATTTGATCCCTGTGTTGTATTGTTGAACTGTGCAGTCCGTTTGAAGAGATGTGTGTTTTTAAGAAGAATTGCTTATTCTTTCTTTATTTGTGTATTTGCTCTTCAAACATATTTGTACTTTGAACTTCAATGTAAGATATGTACGTGAAACTCCTTTCAAAAATCATCTGTAAAATTAGTTTGACAAGTGATTTGACATTCCATTCGTGGAAACAGTTTAATTAAATGGCACTCGTGCGTTGAAATTTTCTGTAAGTAGCGATTGGCGCAACAAAGAAATACGAACTTGGACTCTCTTCCCTCGAGGGTCGACTACCCTCGGGTATTCAATTTTGTGAATTTAATATAACAGCAATTCATTTCATTTTAACAACGTCATATAGGAAAAATAAGGATACTCGTTTCTATTTTTTGATATCATTCCTAGTTTTTGCAAGAAAATCCCAAATTGCAATAAAACATGGGGTAACAATTAGAATTTCAATTTTGACTCCACCTTCCAAACTAGCTGACGAAAGGGGATAAAAGAAGCACAGGTATATATTCACTAAAATAACATTTTATGCCAAACTTATTTCGCACTTTGCGAATATCTGGAGATAATTCGATGCCAAACTTATGAATAACTGTAATTCATAACCCGGTGTGCGCCAGCATCCACCTTTGACAGATCGAGATTCGCTGCATTTGCCGTGTACTTGTTTGTTGTTTTTTTTACAAAAAATTAAAGTCACATGTGGTTCATATGCAACATTTCTGCAGCCAAAACAAAACTGAAAGTTACTCTGAAAAATCATTAACACTGGAATTATTTCGAGTAGCGCGTGCGGTGAGGAAATGAACAGCCATCAGAAGGTAAATCCAGGCACCTGTGTCCTGCCTGCTAAAGAATAGCGCTTACATGTTATCTGGCGGTAGAGTAGATCTGTGCAAACGGATGTTTCAAGCGACAAAACTACACGGAAACTGTATACTTCATTCATATTTTATAGTAAAACTCATTTTGCTTCAGTAGATAAAATTTCACAATCAATTCTGATATATAAATAACTTACTAAAATTCATATAAACGCCACTATATAAAGCGGGAAAAATCAAACGATAACAACTCACATTTGATGATTCAGAACCACAATGTCACCGGTTTAGATAATATCATACTCACAAGAAAGGTTGGTAGCAAAAAGCCCCCCCTCCCTGTTTTATTTTAGTTGCACACTCGCCTTCAAAAACTGTTCCCATTTGGGACCTATGATTTGAAATAAATTTAAAATAACATGAGATAATAAGTGAATGAATAGTATTATAAACATATTTGTTGATGCAGCAGTAAAATGTTACTCGGTAATAGTCATGTGCTTACACGAGTATACTACATGTAACCCCAGCAATAACTGAAAAATATCGAGGGCATATTTCGTCATGACACGTCAGACGATTGAAGAATACATGTTCTTGTGTTTTCGTGAGCGGTTTGAGTGCGGGTGGTGACACGAGAGCGCACAGGGAAGCAACGCCAGTGGGTGGCGCTGTGTTGCAGCTGGAGCCGAACGCGAAGCTGCCGGTGCTCGTGTACATCCACGGAGGCGGCTTCTTCGCCGGGTCGGGCGCGTCCTACTTCAACGGGCCGCAGTACCTGCTGGACCACGACCTCGTCTTCGTCACCATGAACTACCGCCTCGGCGCCCTCGGTGAGTCCGCCTGGCAGCGGTGGATTCATTCATTTGCGTTTCTGGGCGCGTCAACTTCCAAGGTCATTTGTCCCGTAAGTGTCGTGCATGTTTTGTTGCGGGAAGTGGCCGGTCCCACCAACACGTCGGCCGGCGGGGGTGACCCAGCCAGTTATCTCCCACCAGCGGCGCACCTACCCAGCCGGGATAAGCTCTAACCTCCTGACTGATCACCCGAGGTGATAATACACCGGGTGTCCGGAGAGGAGACGTCGAAACTTTGCAAATAAGCTCTTAAGACAAATTTAAGCATATTTTGTTTAATTAATTACTTGGATATTCCGAATGGTTAAGCCGCAATAAGCACTCAAAAGTTTGTTGGAAAAAATGCTTTCTGGGCAAAAATTTGCACTGCAGAAGCCTAGAAACACTCCCGAAACATGTAAATTCTTTATTATTTTCAAAAGAAAGAATACATTTGTTCAGAAAGAAAAAGTAACAGAGAAATGAAAAAGCACCCAATCTACATAATTCAACTCCTTTTTTTATTTCTGGGTTAATTTTTCTTTCTGAACAAATACATTAATTTCTTTTGTAAATAAAAAAAATACATGTGTCTGGAGCTACTACAATTCAAATTTTTACCTGGAAAGCATTTTTTCAAACCAACTTTTGAGTACTTATAGCGGCTTAGCCATTCGGAATATCCGAGTAGTTTATTAGACAAAATATGCTTAAAATTGTCTTAAAAGGTTATTTTTGAAGTTTCGTTGTTTCCTGCCAGGACAACTGTATAGTATATACAGAATACGAGTGAAAGTGTTGTGAATAAGTGTGTAAAAGGGGTTGAGGATAGAGCAAGGAAAAAGAAGGAAAGATCGCGCGCGGTCCGTGGACCAAAAGGGTTAGAGAGGTGCTGGTGTTGATCGGAGAAACCACGAAAAGCTACCTATCACAGCAGCCGGTCGCTAGTGTTCTCCTTGAGCAGCGGTTGAATTCTACCCGATGCTCAGCGGATTGCAGTAGGGCAGTAAACAGCAGTTCCTCGCTTTGGAATCATCAGGAGTGCTTCCAACCTATGACGCAACAAGAACTCAGTGCTCTTTACGTTCGTGTCTCTCACGCGTGCAACAGAAATAAGCTGCGCTAAGAACGCGAGACTTCCACAGCAAGAACGGCACTTGACGGCAGCAAAACGTGAAGAATATTGTACGATATTGAAGTACACGGCAACGTTATTTTAAATACAAGTTCTACAGATACAAAACAAATATAACAAAAAATAGAAAAAATAAACAAAAAACCAAAATAATAAATATTGTTTAATTCTTATAATAGCTTACTAATCTCACTGATTTTGTGAAAATTATTACATTCGTACCATTCCCCAGTAATCCGGGTGAGAATTCGTTTCCCACCTAATTGAATTGATTTGAATTGAATTGAATTGAATTTGCCTTATTTTACGTGGCGAGACTCGGGCCACCAGGCCCGCTCTTCCGTCTGACCACGCAAATCCGGGAATGATTGTTAAATTCATCACCTCATAATATCCGGGAATGATTGTTAAATTATGTCTTGTTCCTATATCGGCAATTTAATATGATATCTTTTCAGGAAGCGTTTTCAATATCAGAAGTCCAATAGCCTGATTTCTACACCTCAAATAATAGGTCAAGGAAGTGTTATCCGTTTTGAGAACCTAATAAATAATATGCGTGACCTCGGATACCAAACGAGTGGTGAAATATATCGATTATTCCGTGGGCATTCGATGCTCACCGTGACCTGGGCAACGGCCCTGCAGCCAAACAGCGACGCCGAAAAGAAAGCTTATCTCTGACAGATTGAGTGCAACCACTTTTCAATAGAGATTTTCGCGGGACTGTATTTACATAGCGCTAGCTCAAGTTGTATACTCAAGTTAATTCTGCAAACAAATATAACATCAGAATCATGCGAACGATGAAACACACAGACGTGGCTGAGAATGTTCCTCTTAAGACAGGCTGTATGAAATATCAACGGCAAAGCTGTTGAGGTGAATTCCTCTCAATAACAATATATCAGAGTAGCAACCCTTTGCGTTCAGAACTGTAAATTTGTATGTTTGTAATACTGAGGCTACTTCTTACCCTCAAAGAGGTTACCCGTTATCGTGTATAATTAGTTTCAAAAATCTTTTAGCTTGTGCACTCCCAACGCTTGTTGCACAATTTCGCAATCTGTTCGGACTTGCAGCTAGTGCAGTCTCTTTAGTGAGTATCTGAAAAAAAGATTCAAATGTGTATTTCCTACGTCAATACAAGACTCCAACTTCGCGGCGAATGCAGAGGATAATTTACAGTATACTCTTCCAAAGAAATGGTTCAGGATCGACTGCAGTAGAATACTTCTCAGAGTAAACTTGACTTCAAATGTAAAAAAAACCGCAAGTGTGCACATAAGAACTCAAGCAGTAATGGTATTTTTATTATTTTCTCTCTACGAAAAAGCATCTCCAAATGTTTCAATATATATTTATGAACCACGAATTAAAACGTTGACAAGAAATTCGCAGTGATGCTCAATAAATTTCTGGATCAAATGAAGCAATGTACTTACATTTATGGCTTGCGAGTAAACTAATGCTGTCCTGCTTTTGAAAATGCAATAATTAGAAATTGAAAAATTAAACAGATGTGGGATGGAGCTATCACAGATAGGCTATCTTGTTTTCGAGAATGCCCCAACCAGTTCAGGAAAATGAACCTCTTTTAAGGAAAATGAACCTCTCAAAAAGCTTTCCGATTTTCCAACGTATTTCCCTTCATTTTGATTTGATTTGTTCTTTAATTTGCTTTCAAACACATGTCAGGCATTCTTACGAAAGCACAATTGGACATACCTGCTCTTTCCTTACGAATAATCAAAACATTAGCAATCGATTGAGCGTAAATATGAGAATCAAGGTCTACAAATTCGGGTACGGACGAGGTGGGAGAGCTGAAATCCGCTGCACTTTCTCCGCCGTCGCTTGTTATCTGGCGGCCGTGACGCAGAGAGGCCATCGAAGTGGACCAGCGAGTTCTTGACCAAGCCCAAAAGCAAAAGACCATGAGCTTTCAACCCAACACTACGGATTTTGCAGACTCGCTACTTCCATCTACGGCGTAAGCGGGTTTTAACTCCCTTTGAAAATTGTTTTAGTCTGCAGAAGTCCATTGGGATCGAAACTTAACGAGAAAAATCATATACAAACTTAAGTCAATCAAGCAAAAATAAAATTACTACAGCTAAAACCTATTATCAATAGAAATTTCTCTCTACCATATAGTACTGCCGAAATAATAAACAAAATCATCCCAAGACCCCTCCTTTTATACGCGTGCAACATCTGGATCAACGCCGCAAAAACCGATATCCACAAAATACAAATTTTCCAAAATCAGTACCTAAGGATAATAACTAACCCCCTTGGTTTGTCACCAACGACCAACTCCATAAAGAACTACTCATCGAACCCATAGCCAATCATACCTCGCCTCCGATTTCTAGTGTACCTTACCACAAACCTCTACACTCTATCCACTCAACCTCAGCCGAAATCCTACACAACCAACCCAAATTGAAAATGAATACCCTTTCCACGTATTTCTAAAAAAAATTCACTGAAATTGACAATTAACAGAGGTGCCAAATTGGCTTCCTCACCCTTGTATTAGATTAAGCATAGTATGTAAGTTAGTAGTAAGCAACCTAAACATATGTATAGTATAATGTTTTACTTCTCTATGTAATAATCAACAAGAAAAAAATACAAAAAAATGCGATGGCGTGACGCCATTGTGACGCGTGGCAGAAACGCTGGGGCCCCCAGACAAATGACAAGAAGTCTGCCCAAGTTACCTTCAATCTTACGCACGAAACATGCCATCCTATAAAAATCGGATCACAACCTATTCCTCAAAACGACTCAGCAAAATATCTTGTAATTACACTGGACAGAAGACTTACATGGAAAACACATATAAAGAATAAAAGAAAAGAATTAGACCTCAAAACTATCAGATTAAACTGGCTATTAGGAAAAAATTCATCCTTAAGCATCGCAAACAAAATTCTTCTGAATAAAGCTTTACTAAAACCAGTCTGGACATATGGAATACAACTTTGGGGAGCAGCTCAAAATTCAAATATTGAAATATTACATTTCCAATCTAACAGCTTAAGAAAATTTGTAAATGCTCCTTGGTTCGTATCAAATGCCACAATACGCCGAGACTTACAAATGACAACAATAAAAGTAGAAATTAACAAGACCAGCGCAAAATAATTACAACGACTACATAACCATCAAACTATTCTTGCCATTAACTTACTAGACAATAGTGACACCACCAGACGGCTTAAACGATATCATACTTTAGACCTGACATATCGACTATAAATTGTTGTTAATCTGAAAAAATGTAATATTAGGAGTACGGACAATGGACCTTACTCCTCTCACGTTATTCAAATTGTAATTTTGTAATTTTGCCAAATGTCTCTACCGAAACAAATTGCAAAATAAAATATTGCGGCGGCGATGGTGAAATGGTTAGCGTACCGGACTACTATACCCAAATTAGCGGGTTCAAACCTGATCGAAGCGAGGGCGAAAAAATCCTTTGTACGCCTTCCTTCGGAGGGAAAGTAAAGCCGGCTGTCCCATGTTAGTAGATTTACTTGCATGTAAAAAATCCTCAAGCCTAAATGACGCCTCTGAGCTAAATTCAAATCGCCAGTTTCTCGCCCAAGAAATACCTCCTTCCTCAGCTAGTTCGTGAAAGGAGCGTAGCGAAATTTGCGTGGTCAGACGGAAGAGCGGGCCTGATGGCCCAAGTCTCGCCACGTAAAACAAGGCATTAATTCAATTCAAAATAATTTTTTTTTGCTAGCGAATCGGCCGACTAGGACCACGCATGCATGCATCCTGCATTTACCGTGGCTCAGTATCATTATCGCGGTGGCAGGTGCATGTAACTTTTTTTTAAATTGGGGACCAGCATTTCGCTGAGTCCAATTTTTATTCCGCAGGGTTGTTAGCACTTGGGGTATGGAAGATGAAATGATGATAATGAGAGGTGAAAGGACAACACACTCATACAGACATATACAAATACACTCATGCCCGAGGCGGGACTCGAACCCACGATCTTCTAGTCCGAAACCACTACGGCACTACTGCCTTAGCGATCTTGGCCATCTGATCGGCAAAAATAAACTATTATTATAAAAAGAAAATTGCGTGGCGGTGCGCAGGGTTCCTGAGCTCGGGCGACGCGCGCGCGCCGGGCAACGCGGGCCTCAAGGACCAGACGGAGGCGCTGCGCTGGGTGAAGCGCAACATCGCAGCGTTCGGCGGCGACCCGGGGCTCGTCACCATCATGGGCCAGAGCGCCGGCGCGGCCTCCGTGCACTTTCACATGCTGTCGCCGCTCTCCAAAGGTAGGTCCTGCATACAGAGGTATATCTAAATGAGGAATTCATGATTGGCCCCGCTCTCGAAAGGTAGGTCCTGCGGACGGAGGCAATATCGAAATTGGGAATTCATGATGGTTCATATTTGGCTCTTTATTAGTGTAGAACAGGCCGTTCCAACTATTCTGGTATTTACATAATAATACAATAAATGTGCATTTAGTATTAGATTTTCATTATTTCAACGGTTTTAAGGATCTTATTGTCCTCATCATCGCGCTTTTACAACTAACAATTGAATCATACTCGCATTATTTTATCCATAATGCTTGATCTTATTTAAATATTACATGGCGTACTACCATACGTTGGTGCCTTGAAACTATTGAATAAGCTTTACGGATGTATTGCTTGCATCTATTGCATTCTATAACATCTAACACTACATTCAATTGTTACTCTTACTTTTCTTGCATAAAGCTTCTCTTCTTGTGTAACACATATTTTCATTTTTTTTCTGATGTTTCTGCTTTCTTCATTAATCTTTGTCAATTTTTCGTTGATTTATGTGTATGTGAACATGATTGTATGTGTTCGTAATCTTCGAAACTTATTTCGTCATATCACCTTCAATACATGTAAACAACTACGGAACCCTACCGGCCAGGGCAGCCAATAGAATTCGACCTAGCTCTCTGAATCACAAGTTGAATGGGCGGTGATAGCGAATGCTTCCGCAGATCTCTTCCATCGTACCTACTATTCTTCCTTCGAATGCACTGAGTGCGTCCGGTCAGTTTGTAGGTGCACGCGGATGTGTTTCACGGCGGGTGCGTGCTGATCCACAGAGCGTGGGGGGGGGCGGCTTGTGGTTTAGCGTGCTCGGGCGTGCGCAGGTCTGTTCAACCGCAAATATTTTCTTTCCAATGTGATGCGCTATGTGCACATGGCCATTGTGTGGGTGCACGTGGATCTGTTCCTCGGCAGGCGCGTGGTGAGCGACTGAGATTTGGGGGCGTGGCGGCTAGTGATTGAGCGTGCACAGGTCTGTTCTGCTGCAATATTTTCTTTCGAATGCGCTCTGTGCACATGCTCTTCGAGTGGGTACACGCGGGTCTGTTGCTCGGGGGCGGGCGCGTGCCGAGCAACTGAGCGTGGTGGGGGGGGCTGTGGTTAAGCATGCAGGAGCGTGCGCAGGTCTGTTCCACCGCGATATTTTCTTTCTAATGCGCTATGTGCACAAGTTCTTCGTGTGGGTACACGCGGGTCTGCTCCTGGGCGGCGGGCGCGTGCCGAGCAACTGAGCGTGGTGGGGGGCGTGTAGTAGAGCATGCAGGAGCGTGGTTTGTTCCACTGCAATATTTTCTTTCGAATGCGCTAACTGCACATGTGTGGGTACACGCGGGTTTGTGTGGGTGCACGCGGGTCTGTTGCTCGGGGGCGGGCGCGTGCCGAGCAACTGAGCGTGGTGGTGGTGGTGAGGGCTGTGGTTGAGCATGCAGAAGCGTGCGCAGGTCTGTTCCACCACTATATTGTCTTTCGAATGCGCTCTGTGCACATGCTCTTTGTGTGGGTACACGTGGGTCTGATCCTTGGTGGCAGGCGCGTGCCGAGCAACTGAGCGTGGGGAGTTGAGCGTGCGGGGGCGTGCGCAGGTCTGTTCCACCGCGCCATCTCGCAGAGCGGCTCGGCGCTGGCGTCGTGGGCGAAGACGCTGGACCCGGCGCCCATCGCGCTGCAGCAGGCGCACTTCCTCGGGTGCAACGCCACCTGCATGGACGACGCCCTCGCCTGCCTGCGCCGCGCCGACGCCAGCGCCCTCACCGAGGCCGGCCACCGCTTCCACGTGAGCGCTCGCATGCTCCAGTCTGGCGCGCCCTCAGCCAGATCAGTCAGATACAAACACTTGAAATGGCTTCAACAAAATATCAACCTCTCATTGGAATAAAAACCGTTTCATTAGTTTAAGGCGTTCATTTTTTAGCCCCCTAGTATAAGAAAACTAGTCCCCTGACTGCCCTAGGATATTTCAAATAAAATACATTAAAGAAAACACTTATATATTCAATTATTGTTTGATCGTGCTGGGGACCCGCATGTACTTCATACGTCGTTGTTCTTATGAGTTGAAAGGTTCATATTACAGATTGAGGACTGAAAAATAAAGAATATCAGGAATCGTGATATTCTTTGTACGTCCAGTGCAACTTACTACATCAAAACTAACTCTGGCAAAATATGAATATTTCGAAATAAGCTTTCTTAGTTGAAGGAGATGTTTCAGAATATGAATTTAGGTGCGGGTTGACACTAAAGGGCCGGAGTGAACGTCGTCTGTGTGAAGGAGTGCGGTGTCAGATTGGTGACTCATTCATAGTGTTTATTTCATTTATTTCCAACATTTTCATAAAAGTAGCAGAGGAGTATGTTAACAACGGACAACTAACAGGGTACAATCAATTCTTCATATTTCATGGTGTCATGCCTCTCCCTAAAATTGGCATGAGATAGATTATTACGTTGTTTTTATTGGAATACGCTTAGGGTAGTTAAGGTTTGCAACTAAAGTCACATCCTGTAAAATTTTATCTCCCACAATATAAATGAAATACATATGCTAATTCAATTACACCAGCTGCACGAAACAGTGAGAGAATCTTTGCGTTTGCAAAGTTCTTTAGGTACTGATTATGTTTCTCCCAATTGTCTTAAGTATTCACGACCAAGGGCACTCAAGACCATCACTCTCAAAATTCACTCTCAAAAAAGGCCAAGTAGTAGATACAATGAGTCAGTAATTGATCACACAAATGATATGTTAACAGAAATAATATATAGCAGTTTACTACATCCATTATCTTTATATTTACAACTCTAAAGGTTTTCATGTGTAGAAGTTTGCCGACTGATAGGCCGTGGTCCAATTGAAGTTGAACGGCCAAACATTTCGTCCGCAGCTGCGGTGGGCTTATTCAGTGGCGGCGAGTTCTCGGGTGCCGACCCAGCCAACTGCCGACCCCGACACTTCGCTCGAGAACCCGCCGCCACTGAAGATGATAACTGCAGCTGTGGACGAAACGTTTGGTGTTTTTAGCCCCAATTGGACCACAGCCCGAAATCTTTTCTAATATCGCCTCCGACCGTGAAAGCCTTCGATACTCTTGAGTACACATACAAGACATTACGCCCTGAGGAAGGTCGCCGAATGGCGATTGAAACGTCGGCACCTTTGCCATGGATGCGGTGTCATCCGGACAGCCAGTGATTTTGTTTCTCCCAATTGTCTTAAGTATTCACGACCACGGGCACTCAAGACCATCGCTCTCAAAATTCACTCTCAAAAAAGGCCAAGTAGTAGATACAATGAGTCTCTAATTGATCACATTAACGATATGTTAACAGAAATAATATATTGCAGTTTACTACATCCATTACCTTTATATTTAAAACACTAAAGGTTTTCATTAGTAGAAGTTTGCGGGATGATAGGCCGTGGCCCAATTGCCGCTGAATGGCTAAAACGTTTCGTCTGCATCTGCGGTGGACGTCAGGGCGTAGTGCGATGGACATTACGCCCTGAGGAAGGTCACAGAATGGCAACCGAAACGTCGGCACCTTCACCATGGGTGCGGCGTAACGCGCCATTACGCCCTGAAGAAGGTCGCAGAATGGCGACTGATTCGTCGGTACCATTGTCATGGACGCGGTGCCACCCGGACAGCCAATTAAATAAAAATAATTAATAGTCGTTTTCAACAATATTTTCCAACTTTTCTTTTTTTAAATTTTGTGCTTGAAGAGGCCACTACTGATGCCTTTTCCCTAGTGTAACCCCAATCCGTTTCAAATCGAGCGTGCTGTTGATTGGCTTGGAAAGCGCGTGTGCGAGGGCGAGCAGCCGAGTGACGCGGCGGGCGCCGTGCGCAGATCTGGGACATCGACCCGCTGACGGTGTTCCGGCCCGTGGTGGAGGCGCCGGCGCGCGGGGCCTTCCTGGTGGACCAGCCGGCCGTCACCATGCAGATGGGCGACTTCGCGCACGTGCCCTGGCTGCTAGGCGCCGTCCCGCAGGAGGGCGTCATCCGCGCCATACGTGAGTGTCCGCGCGCCACTGACATGTGATGCTGCGCGAGGAGCGTGTTTGATGCTGCACGAGCAGGGCATTTGATACGACCTGGAATGGCCCGCCGTTGCTTGGGCGTTCTTTTTGGCCGCAATCAATTTACACATGAATTCTATCTATAGAGTAGCGAGGAAGTAATTCTATTTTTATCTCCGTCTCGCCCCCTCCTCGCTCGCCTTCCGCTTTGATCCAAAACCCTTCCCCTCATCTGCCCCTCCGCGAACTCCGTCGCGCTTTACCCTTACGAGGAAAGGCATAAAAAATTGAAGGGTGTCTTTCGGAGGAGGGTTTGCTTCGCCTAAGCATATGAACAGACTCTCATGATCCAAGTTATTATTTCATATTTTAAATTTTACAAATTTGTGATTATAAAAATGTTTCATTTACGAACAAAACATCGAAAGCGTAAAAACATAGGGGATAATACATCGATGTTCAAATTCATCGGCTTGAACCTAGCCATGTTTGAAATATCGTTGTTTTTTCATAAAATTTATCGATGTTTTTATAGATTTTAACGATGATGTAGATGAAAACATTTAATTCAATTTCCTTATGTATTCCTACATACGCCATCGCAGTTGATACTTCAGTTTAATAAGAAATTAAATTTTCTTGAATTTAACTTAAACTTTTTGTGACATTCACGAAAACCAGTATGAACAAAGGCCAGAGTGATGTGACCGCGACTTGTACAATATGTCCAGTCTTACTCCAGATCTGCCAGTTCACTGCTGTGAATTTTGCCATTACCGTAATTTAATTGCTCGAAATTACTGGAGTCCACATTACTTCCTTCTTATATATTGGCAAAAAATATTTCGGATTCTCAGGCCTCTAGATTGGCCAGAGTCAGAAATGGTGTTAGCAGGTCTCACAGGAGTGAAGATTAAAGTGTCCTTATTGCTTAAAGTTTATGAAGATTTAAAGTTCCATTATTGCTTCCTGTTAGCTAAATTGTTTTCTCTGCTTATGACAATAAACATCTACAGAGATTCCGGGTAGTTTTTTGAAGTACTAACAAAATGAAACTTTTAGTATTACACGTAGTACATTCGAACATACCGTAATCATTTTAAACTTCCCTTCCCTTCATCTTTCACATCCCCTTAAGTGCGTTTCTTGAGACAAAACAGCAAATATCGTAAGTGCAGAAATTCGGTACTGTAAGAAATATTTGTAGTTTGATTAAATAAATCGAGTCAAATGTCAAAGTCAATTAGTAGAATAAAATTATTTGTTGGTATTCAATTTGCAAAAGGAAATTGTGCATCAATTTTTTAAACGGATTAAATTTGCATCGCTTCCAGAAATTTTACTTCATATGAAGACCGTAAGTCTTCAGCAATGAATTCATAAGAAATGCAATAAAAACTTTTAATATTCTTAATTTTTAAAAATATGTCACTGCATTTTAAACCAACTCAATGCAAACACTTGAAATGGCTTCAACAAAATATCAAACTCTCATTGGAAAACGGTTCCATTAGTTCAGGACGTTCATTTCTTAGACATAAATATAAGAAAACTACTGACTGTCCTAGGATATTTCACATAAAAATACCTTAAAGAAAACACTTATATATTCAAATATTGTTTGAACGTGCTGGAAACCAGCATGTATTTCATATCTCGTCATTCTTATGAGTTGAAATGTTTATATTGCAGATTAAGGACTGAAAAATAAAGAATATCAGGTATCGTGATAAAAGTCCAGTGTAACTTACTACACCAAAGCTCTGGCAAAATCTGATTACTTCGAAATAAGCTTTCTTAGTTGAAGGTGATGTTTCAGAATGTGAATTTAGGTGCGGGCTGACACTAAAGAGTCAGAGTAAACGCTGTCTGTGTGAAGGAGTGCGGTGTCTGATTGGTGACTCATCCATACTGTTTACTTAATTTCTTTCGAACATTTTCACAAAAATAGAAGATAAGTATGTTGACAACGAACAACTAATAGGGTACAATCAATTCTTCATATTTCATGGTGACATGCCTCTCCCTAAAAATTGGCATGAGATAGATAACTATGTTGTTTTCGTTGGAATGCGCTTAGGGTAATTAAGGTTTGCAACTAGTCACATCCAGTATAATTTTGTCTCCCACAATCTAAATGAAATGCATGTGCTAATTCAATTACACCAGCTGCACGAAAGCTGACAATGCGACAATCTTTGCGTTTGAAAAGTTCTTAAGGTAGTGATTTTGTTTCTCCCAATTGTCTTAAGTATTCACAACCACGGGCAAAGACTACCACTCTAAAGTTCTATTCGTGTTTATAGTACGGTTTTTATTCTTTTTCAGTCGAAACTGGTTACCTTTTACATCCCACGTACTTTCGAGCTTCTAGTATCAGAAGAACGTGAGGCCATCAGCATCAACACGTATATAAAGAACACGGAACAAACACATCGAAGTCCTCTAATACACCGACCTCGAACCCCGCAACCTTTTGTCGAGGGCCTGGCGTACGGTACACCACAACCATTATTTGTAGCTTGCAGACAAGAATTCTTCAAATGCAAATTTCGATCGCAGAAGATCCTCACAAACAGTGTTTTTCTGCCGGGAGTTCAACGGGACTAAGGAAAGTCGGCTCTAGCGGCGCCGCAACAGGATCGCTACCGGGGGTAACGCAAGTCCCCGTATCTCGCGCGTTTTCCAAATCAGAAAACGAGAAGCAGCAGCCGGTCCATTATGCCTGGTGAAGAGAATTCCGCACGAGCTTTGCAAGAACGTGTGTGTTAAAGGTCATCGCCACAATTTCTCCACGTGCCTAACCTCCCCCCCCCGTTTGCGCTCGAGAGTCACGAGGACCGGACGTCCTGAGCAATAAACTGCCAAATCGCGACGTGGGAACCTGTCGTCGAACACCACGCGGGTGTGAGCATTCAGTTCGCACACTTTGTCGTTGCACTTATCCATGACAGTGCGAAAATTGTAGGAAGCACGAAAATGCAACGAGACAGAACTTGCAGTGCACGGTTTGAATTTAGTACTCACGGAAAACTTTAATGAAGGATCCTTGGATTGAAACACAACTTCTGGGAATGAACGACATACCAAAACTTTTCTCATCGTCATTTTTTTACTCACATTAAACAGAATGCACGATATCATTTAAAGCTTTAATACTTGAGAGGTGTATTTCAGGTTCGAAAAATAATTCATATTTTGCAATTTTGAAAGGTTTTCACAAACATAAGAAATATACCTTATTTTTAAATTCACTTTCTTTTAAATAAAAAAGAAAACAATTTAAGCAATTTTTCAGAAACCGATTAAAAGTCACAGGAGATTCATTTAAAGTTTCCAAAAAAATTCAAATATCTTAATGATCCCCGGAACGACACCACAAGACTTACTTCTGACGTGTTCACCAAGTTTCAGATCAAAATCTTCTAATTTCTAACTATGTGACAGTTATACTTGAAACGTGTACACGTAAGCTTCCACGACTGGAGTTCATGACTTCTTGGCTGACCTGGTGACTCACCGTTGTTGGCGCAAAGGCCTCTCGTCTCCCGGGCAGCCACGAATTCAATTATACGTGACCCATTCGTCATCTACCCATACATTACTACATACACATCGATATGGGGATTCAAACCTGAGCATCAATCCATGCTCTGGTGAAATATAGGGATTCAAACCAGAGCATGAATCCAGCTCTCCATGAGCATCAATCTGAATCATCTTTGCAACAATTCTAATATATCTCAGGCATTACGTGTGTAAGAAATTATAGTTCAAAATAACTTTAAACACCTATTTAACACAATTTAAGTCGAGATTGTACTGATAGAGGATTGCATTTTAATGGATGTTGATATAACTTCAAGGATATATCTTTGACAAGTATTTTATACTATCGAATTCTCATTGTCATTTTTACGAGCTTTAATTTTTAAAATTCGTGAAATTAACCATATAAATGATAGTGTTAAATGTGAAAAAGAAGAAGTTTACAAAAGTTATGTTCAAATTATTGTTCCAGAGACCCTTGAGGTCACAGTAGTAAGGTAAAGAGGCATTTCTTTAAATAATAGTCTTCTTCTATCAAATTTTTGAATAAGTACAAATGAACTTTAACATTTTACTAACATTTATTTGTAATTACTACTATTTAGAATTTTTAGGTCCTGCCTTGGCCCACCTCGTTCACTCCGCCTCGCTTCACCCCGCTCCACACCGCTCCGCCCCACCCCATCCGCTCCACATCGCCCCGTCACGATCCACGCCCGACCCCGCTCCTGTTCCTTCAGTGCCACCCTGTCTTGTTCGCTCCCCTCCATTCTACCCACTCTTTCTGTCCGGTTCCGCCGTTCCCGACATCTCCCACCGACATTTCGCCTACCCCCCCCCCGGCTGTATGCCAACCATCTGTCCCGCCGGCAACACTGTCTGTCAATCCGTAATACCTAAATGGATTGCGGGTTGCATTATAACTAAGAATATTTCCGTTCTGGGCATGAATTTTAAAAATATTTATCTTAGTCTACGAGCTAGAATATACTAGATAGAGTGTCTGTCCCTATAGTTTCACAGCTCTTGGAGGAGACTCGCTGAACTAGTGGCTGACATGTTTTTTGAAGTCAAAACAAACGAGTTGGCAGTGTAACTGTCCGTAACCAGCGCCAAACTAACGATAAACTGCGGTTTTCGCAACTCTGCCCCTGGCAGGAATCAGCTGTTGACAGTTTCATTCAATCGGGAGCTTAAACGTCAGTGACGTCACTATTGTAAGCTAAGTAAGTAATTGTATTGTTCAAGCTCCTGATTGGATGAAACCGTGAACAGCTGTAATCCGCGAGGGGCAGAGTTGCATAAATCGCAGTATAGAATCCTTTGTTTCCCAGAAAGCGCTGCTTTGACTGCAAAAACATGGCTTCAATTTGCTTCAAAGATGGAGGCCCTTCCGCCTCTCTATGTAGTATATTCTAGCTCATTGATCTTAGTGGTTACCTAAATGACAATAAAAGCATATTCCATTATTTTCATCCATTTTATGTCTATCGTAGTTTTATTTATTCATCGATAAGTCAGTTTCTATGCTTACATATATATTTCTGGTGATAACATGTGTTTTCTTATGTGATGTTTAGGGATTCTCCTCGAGTTTTAACCAATTGAAATAAAACAGATGTAAGTGAATATTCGCGAGATAGAGTATAAAATACTTGTGGTTTTGAAGCTCAAAGTGAACATTTTACGTATTGTGGAGGTGCTATTCGAACTTTCTTATGACGATAAAAGTTATAACAGCATAAGAAAAACATTCAGCAAAACAGGTACATTAGGAAAATACAAGTAGTTGATGCGTATTAACAGCTACATTTTCACCTTTTGTTCTAAGACGATCTTTCATTTACTATCATGAAGAAAAACTATACATTTTCTCTTGCCTTTCCCGCAATATCAACAAAGCATTTTATTGTTTACGACATAAATTAAATATAAATAAATATGCATATACTTCAAAACAGTGATCATAGATTCAACGCGTAAGGCAAGGACGGGCCCAAGGGTTGTTAACGGGGCCAGGTTGCAACTAGACTTGAATTTTTAGACATTAATTTATTTTATCATTTTGACGTAGATACTCGAAGTAAAAGAATGAGTTTTATGTCTTTACGGTATCATAGATTTATAATAGGGATTTGTACAACCTAAAACAGCTTGTTCACCATTACGACCAAAAAATGCATATTTTCCAGCAAGGGACTGTATGCACTTTCGTAATAATTTGAAACCGCAAAGAATAATTCGAAATAGATCGTAACAAAAAGTTGAGATTGAAGCTGAAGTATTTATTAAATAAAAACTCCAGATTGCCCTGGATACACTCTGCGTCAGAAAAAGAACAATTACTGCACTGTGTTTTATTCCAACATTGAAACACAGTGTTGAAATAAAAATATTATTATCCGAATATAATAAAATGAGTAAAATCTTTATTTAAAAGTGTGTTTACCTGTCATATTTTTTTATAGATGATGCTGATGTTTTAAATGAAGTTGTTTGAAGTAAAATCAAATTAATGCGTAAACGTTCGTGTCTATGTGTTTAAAAAATATCCAAACCTATTTTAATCAGCTAAAATAAGATCTTTTGGCTAAACGCGCGATGTGCTCTCTGTTGGCGACAGCGATCCTGAGCAACGCCACGCTGGCGGCCGACCTGAACGAGCGCTGGGACGAGCTCATGCCGGAGCTCATGGAGCTGGACACGTCGGCGCCGCCCGAAGCCGTCCCCGCGCTCTGGCGGCAAATCTCAGACTTCTACTTCGGCAACGCGCAGCCGCACGTCTCCCTCGAGAAGCCGCAGCCGTTCATCGACGTGAGTGGCCTCCACGGAATACTCTAGAATACTCTAGCTCGTCGGCGTTCCCCGCTGGCCGGCCACGCCCACCTTTTCACCCTGCCCTGCCCGACCCCACCCATCGCTTCATCTGCCCGGTACCACTCTTCCCTTTAGCCAGCCCCGCTCCGCTCCCGCCTTCCGTGACCAGCCTGGGATCTGGGTATTGCTTAGCCTAGCCTCTCCTTGTCATTCCCCACCTCTACCCTAGTCGGCTCCAATCCGCTCACTTTACTATCCCGGCCTGCTCTATCCTCTAGACGTTACACACGCCAAACCCCACGCCTTTCTTCTTCCCACCTCCCCTTCGCCCCGCTATGTCGATCCCATCCGCTTCCCCTACGTAACCCGGTCATTATGCCCTTCTATGACCCTACCAAACCCACTCCGTCTCGTCGTGCATTGTCCCATTCTGCCCACCCCGCACGAACCAGACACTCCATTTGCTCCTCTCTGAATCGCCCGCACCACAGCGCTCCCCTCATTTCCATCCCGCTTTGCCCTCTACGTCCGACCCTCGCCCCTTCGAAGTCCCATCCCTCCCGCGTCCGACCCTTCCCTTCTCTGCTCACCTTATTCGCAGCTCTGTCTCTCCCTCTCCGCTTCCTCACCGCCCCACCGCCACCCCGCTTTGTCCCGCCCTTGGCCTGCCTTCCTTCGCCCTGCATTACTGTGGCTGACTTTGCCGAGCCTTCTGCCCCTCTCCACTCATCACTCAAGCTTCATCTACGCCTCTCCATTTCGTTCGCGAGTATTTGTTTAAGAAAGCAAAAGCAATTGCAAATGCAACACGAACTCTGTATAGACAGAGATTCAAAGAGCTTTCGTATAATTTAATTTTGTGGGATTTCTAGTTCCTTAATTAGTAGGAAAAATCTCCACCAGAAGTTCTTAAAAATGAATTGCGCACCTTTAGAGGTGATTGTTCAAAAATTATTTTCTACCCAATGGACGTGTAAAGATGAGTTTCCATTTCATTTCATTAAGAAGAAATACGTTATATAGTAGGTGTGCAAAGCGACTCACTGGCTGGGTTGACCGTACTCTCTGCAGTTTAAGCGCGGCCCCCTCTTTAAACTGGCGTCGCCGGTCGGCCCAGACTCGCCTCTCCGCCTTGCGCCGCCGGTTGCGCCTAGGGCGCTTCTGTCGTGACGTGTGCGCCCGCGCAAATTCAAACGGGCGAGCATACACTTCAGCTACCTTATACAAGCGGCAGACAATGTGTTTGCCATTTATTCCCAAATGCTTTAGCTTTTGTCAAAAAAACAAAATAAGTATTTACTGGGCTGTCCGGGTTGACGCGCGTCCATGGCGAAGGTGCCGACGTTTCGGTCGCCATCTTGCCGACCCTTCCTCAGGGCGTAATGCCGTAGGGAAGGTCGCCAGAATGGCGAACCGAAACGTCGGCACCTCCGCCCATTGGCGCGCGTCCACCCGGAAAAGCCAAGTAAATACTGACTCCAGCCACGGGAAGCCTTGCTCTCGAAATACTCGCCCTGCCACCGGGGCCTTTCCTTACCCTCGATCAACCCTGCCCACCGCTCTTCGAACCGATTACTTCACCGTCCTGGAGCGTCTTTCCCCCTCTTCCTCTTCCCTTCGCCTTCTCGCTGTGTCCTTCTATTCCCCATTCCCGCCATAGCCCATTCTACTTATTCTCAACTCTAATTGAATCCGGGAAGACCACATTTCAAATATGCAATAAAAATAGTTCACTAATTTAAATTCAGAATACCTTGAATGTTGTTTCTCGTTGAAAATAAAAATATTTACAGTTTCTGAAATCTTACCTAAATAATATTGTCCCCAGCTGGTATTCTTCTCAACATTGGTGTTTTCTAAGATTGTTCTCGCGTTAGACGATGGATATGCAGAATTTTCTAAATAAACGCGATTTGAACTGGTCGACGGGTATCAAACTGAAACCGTTAGAATAAAGTTTCCCAATCGGCTTCCAGTGGAAAGGAAAAACCAAAACCGTAATGTAATAGAAACTGTTGGCGGAACCGAAGGAAATGTTCTCTGGTTTGTTTTTTAAAAGATCTTCGTAATTTCTCGCAACAGAGTACTGCAAGTTTTTACTCAAGGTGTGACTCAATTGTAAACAACAGTTACCTGAGATTTAGAAAATTAAAATTGATCGTTATTATAATTTCATATGATCGAAATATGCTTCGGGACAGGAGAGGAATTGTAAAAAATGAATCGGAAAAATTAAAAAGTTATTATTCATTATGACTAAAAATTCTAAAATTATTTAATAAAAGAATGTAGTTTTAAAACTGTGGGAAACCATTTTAAAACCCAAAACCGAACCGCTTTGGTGAATCAAAATACGGAGTGAAACCTACACCGCAGTTTATTTTATAAAACGAAATCTTCTTATGCAACGTTTTTCAAGGCCGGTTTGATTGCATTGGAATCCATATTGCGTCTTTCTGAAATATATTGATTGTCTTTTCAAATCCATTGTTGGTCTTTTTTCCAAATTCCAATGCTGCCTTGGTAAATCCATGTTGTCTTTTCAAAATCTATTATTTTCTTTCAAAATACCATTGTTGTCTTTTCAAATCCATTGTTGTCTTTTCCCAAATTTCAGTGTTGTCTTTCAAATCCGAGTGTTGCTCAAATTTCCTTTTCAATCCATTAGTTTGTCTTTTCAAATCCAGTGTTGTCTTTTCAAATCCATGTTGTCTTTTCAAATCCATGTTGTCTTTCAAATCCAATGTTGTCTTTTCAAATCCATTTTTGCTTTTTCAAATCCAGTGTTGTCTTTTTCAAATCCAGTGTTAGTCTTTTCAAATCCATGTGTCTTCAAACCAGTGGTCTTTTCAAAATCATTTCTTTTCAAATCCATTTTAGTCTTTTAAATCCATTTTCCTTTTCAAATCCATGTTGTCTTTTCAAATCCAGTGTTGTCTTTTCAAATCCAGTGTTGTCTTTTTCAAATCCAGTGTTGTCTTTTCAAATCCAGTGTTGCTTTCAAATCCATTGTTGTCTTTTGAAATCCAGTGTTGTTTCCTTTTTTGTGTAACTACGGGCGCGCTGGTGCCGGCAGTTAACGATGCGCGTGCGCGTGCGTTGCAGCTGTACTCGGACCGCGGGTTCCTGCACGGCTTCCGGCGCGCCATCGAGATGCACGCGCGCGGGCCACAAAGCGCCTCTTCGTGTACGAGATGGCCTACCGCGGCGCTTCTCCTTCAGCAATGCTCTTCGGCGGCGGGCTGCACGACTACGGTCGAGCAGTAGAGATACAAAACACCAGTATGACTGTTACTTTTACTCGTGCGCTTTTGGCGGCTTACATTTACCTAATGTACTTACTTACCTAATGTACTAAATCTAACTACCTGAGAATAAGCGAGCTCATAGAGTGTCTTACGTTTTCTACTGCTCGAAATGTCCAAAAATGCTAGATCGGAACCTGTACTAATTCTTGTTTGGGAATTTGTGATTTGAGGTTAGGTACTTTAAGATATGTTTGATTTGGTTGATGCATTTAATAGAATTTTATTAGAGATCATGGTCATGAATGGTGTTAGTAAGGGCTATTTAATTCTTTGAACTCTAAATTCGAAACAAAAAGCAGGGTCTTTGTCATTTTCAGAGTATTTATATTGAAGGTATATTCAAATTTCATATTTTCTAATTGCACGATATGTGCGAAGTTCCATCGTTATTATTTGAATGGTTTAGAATTTGTTTAAGTTGAGTCTCGATGCATTTAATCAGAAGGGAACGCAAAATCATTACCGTGGAATATGTTTGTAAAAATTATTGCCATGTTAGAGAAATTTTGCTTTGAAATGAAATAGCGGTGTTAGTTGGAGATCATTTCTCTACATTGCACCATTTTATATATTTACTTTTTCTTTCCACCATAACTTCGTATCAAAGATTTAGTACCAAATATTTGTATGTTTAGGAAAGGGTACAAGGAATTAATGCGTTAATAATTTGTATGGAGGTTTTACAATTTATCTAAGGGTTAAAGATTTTTGCAATAAGCTTAAGTTCCTTTTAAAGGATCATTCAGGGTAAGGATTAATCTCTTACCATTTGAAAGTTTGTGTTATGTATTTGGAAAAAGCGATACAGAACGTTACAATGTACTCGTATGATGCTAATTTGGTATAAAAAAGCAATGTCCAATTATTTAAAAATATTATCGGCCATCAAATAGGAAAGTAAAGACGTGGACAACATAATTCAAGTATTTGATTAATATTCTAATTTTTCCCTCGAGAAAATTACTTCATCTGACATTTTGTTAACTGAACATAATTAAACTCCTTTTCGGATGTTTGGCACTGACATTTTGAAAGTGACCTTCTGGCAATAGATTATTTAGAAATGCGGGACCGTGCAAAATATATTTCGTAAAATGGATTTTTTAATCATCCAAGTAGTACAACAATGTGCCAGGTTATAAAACTCTAGAACAAGCTTGACAACTTCCTTCTGTAACATCACGCTCCTATTATCCTCCAATGGACATCTCGTTCAATCAATGGTTTCTTCTCGGAGCCAATTGAGAGCATTAATGTCTCAACATACCCGGCGTGAGTTGTTCACCCTGTCACGTAATTGTTGGTTTGATGGTATTTCAACCTTATCGCTGCTAACAGTGTGTCTGAGTGTTGTTGTGTGGCAGGCGTGTCGCACTGCGATGACTGCTCTACCTGCTGTATTGCGCCCGCCCTCTTCCCTGAGCTGCCGCCGCCAGGGCAGCCGCCGACGAGGAAGCCGTCAAGACGACTCACGGAGCTCTGGGCCAATTTCCGCCAAAATACGGGGCGTCAGAGCAAGATGTCGCTACACTAGCGGTCAGTGCACGGAAGACCGAAGCTTTCGTTGTTTTTTTACATATTTTTTAACGTGGTGATATGGGCTTCCGGGTGACGCCGCGTCGAAGTCTGGTTGCCGACGTTTCGGACCATCCTGTCGTGGTCTTCTCAGGGCAGGTATGGTTGAGGAAATCCACGACAGATGTCGAAACGTCGGGCAACACAGACTTCGACGAGGCGTCACGCCGGACAGCCCAGATCAGCACATGACTCTGGCCGCTAAGCCTACAACTTCATATTTTTTTAACGCTAGATTGTGACAACCTCTCATTCAAATTCAGACCAAGGACTAATTTCAAATTGAGACCTGACACACATTAACTCAAGTACATAATGAGAATTGAGACGAGCAACACTCAATGAGAACCACTGAGACAAATACACTTATCACTTTCTAAGTCTCAACTAGCAGCGTCTTCGAATACACAAATGGTCCTTATACAAGCATTTCAGATTTAAAGATAGCCGAACAGACGAGCACATCCAGCACTTACAGAAAGTGATTCGAGGTTTATATTATTTTTATTTCATTTACGTTTTGAATATTTCTATTTAACAGATGGTGAATATATAGTGAAATGAACTATACAGATGTTGAATGGCCTCAATAGCCTAACTTAAATTTAAAATTTTAAAACTAATACAAAGTTGAAGTTACCCATCGGTCTGCTCTAGTCGGGATCTGTTCGAAGAATTTTTGAGGAAAATGTGAAAAGGAATCTATTTTGTATTCTGGTGTCTATGTGAAGGGTTTGCCAGTCTATGAACAGTTAGTGGAAGGGATTTGGGATATGTTTGAGAAGATTGGTAGGTACATGGGTGATATGATGGTCTACAGTCTCTAGGTCAAATTCTTTGTTAAACTAATTACTGGTGACAACCAGAGAGCGTTTGAAACAATTCTGAGAAGTTGGTTTTGTACTATTTTCGGTTTGGGTTTTGCTACGTTTAACCAGATTGGGCAGGCGATAGTGGCAAGGCTCTTATTACATTTTGTATAATTTGTAAAATGATGAATGGGCTGGGATAAAGGCCATAATTGTATTGCTTGATTCCGGCTTGAATGCTTGGTCGTGCTGACACTGGCACGCGCTTCTCCCGCAGTGACCCCACGCGCGCAGCCCCGCCAGTCGCCCCCCGCCGCCGCCCGCGCCCGCGCCGCGCCCGCGCCGCCGCTCCCCGCCCCCAGGACGCCGACGGCGGCGAGGAGGAGCAGTGCTGGGCGAGCGCGGCGGAGGGCGCGCTGGGAGCCCTACCAGCCCTCGGCGCGGGCGGACGACGGCCGGCTGCGCTTCCTGCGCATCGAGAGCGCCTCCCCGCCCGCCCCGCCACCGCGCCGGTGGCGCCCGCGGCCGCGGACGCGCCAACCGCCCGAAGACAGCGACGCCCGCAGCGCGCCAAGCGGCCAACGCCGCAGGCGGCGGCGGCGGCCACCTCAAGCTGTGCATGCGCAAGGGCTTCCACGAGCGCCGCCTGGACTTCTGGAACTCGCTGCCCATCAGCGAGAACAAGGCGAGTGGTGCTGCACGGGCCACAGAGACGGCGCGCTGGTGAAGCATGGGCCATTCTAAGGCACGCTGGGGTGGGACGCAAGCATGGACTGGGGGCGATTGCGGGGAGCGCTTGCGGAACGGCGCAACAGGGCTGCCACGCTACAGAGGTGCGGAGGAAGCACTAAAATTCTGCATCGCCTCCTTCTGTTCTGAGTCCAAGCCTACCCTCACTCCCATAAAGAAACAAAATCATGTTTTTATTTTTGAAAAAATATAGATTATTTATTAGGTGTAACTGTACGTAAGATAACTCTGCTGGGCATGCACAAGCGACAGCGGGACCTATGGATCTCGCTGCTGATACGTGAAGCGCTGTATGGGCTGCGGGGACACCGCGGTGTTAAAGCATCGGCCAAAACTCTGGCGCGGGTGGGAGTGAAGGACTGATACGATCGAAGGTTTTTTGAAATTGTGACAGCTGCAGCTGCAGCGAGCTTGCGCTGTGGTGTAACTGCGCTCTCTCCTTCGGAGAACTGCCGTTGTACCAGAGGAAAACCCTCAACTCTGAAATGGCCACAACGCTCAAGATGTGCAGCCCGCACTTCATGTTAAGACTGTATTTTACCCACATTTGTTTCTCTTTTAAAAAAACAAAAAACAAAAAAAAGGTTGTGTATTTTACTATACATTATGCGTTATTTGTTGGGTATACGAGTAAATGAAAAGGAGTCAATTAGATGTGCATGCGCATGGGTTTACCTCACATCCTAGTACTCGCTGTCCATCGGCGATAACGGCTCTGTGGTGTTGTACAGCGCACTGTTGAACCATGGGCCAGAATTGTGGGGCGGGAAGCATGTTGGGTTGTGATGTTGGGGATTTCTCTAACTTTTTGCTCATCTTTCAAGAAGACATCACATGTTTATTTTAAATTTTGCATTATTTGTTAAGTATATAGTATGTAAGGAACCTCTTAATCGGTGCATGCATTTACATTCGGGTGGAATTACAGCATGTAATGAGTGATATTTCTTTTGGAAAACCTTAAAATAGACTGATCAGCACAACGCTTTCAGCGCGCTACCTTGATGCCATCGGATGAGTTTAGCTCAGAGCAAGCATTGTCGCTGACTTTGCAGCGACTCTGAACGGCAGGTCTTAGGGTTCAACTCCCGGTGCTGGCGAGTTTTCGACACTGGCTAAATAGCTAGGTTTACGATTAATTCTAATTCCAATCAACGGCTAGATTTCCTTATCCGTGGTTCCCCAGATCACTTCCAGGCGAATACCGGATCAATTCCTTCACCGACGGCCCGTACCGCGCTCTATCTTTCCTTCCTCTTCCTTGCCTTCTCCTCTCCCCTTTCACACAGAATTACACTTGCATACACAACCACACATGTCGAGAGAGAAGTCGGGAGCCTAGAGCTTGTATCAGTTGGGGAGGAGGCCTACTAGGAGAAGATTCCTGGATAATAATAATAATAATAATAATAATAATAATAATAATAATAATAATAATAATAATAATAATAATAATAATGTCTTTATTAATGGCGAGGCTCAGGCCATAGGGCCTGCTCTTCCGCCTAACCACTGAATTTGCATAGTAACATTTAGAATAGTAACATTTTAAGAGGGGAGACAAGCTGTACATTTACGTCTGGGAGAACAAACCTAGGGACCATCCGGCATACGCCTTAAGCGATTGAGTAAACCCAGAAAAAACCTCAATCAGGATGGCGGCTTAGGGTCCGAAACATCATAGTAGTGAAAGGGAAGTTTCGTAAGAGAGAAAAGAAGAGACGTTCAGGGGATCAGCCCTTCAATTCGACGTGTAGATCAGCGACGGATCTCACTTTCTTATGAGCGAGGAACATCACCACCTCCCAAGATATAACACGCATTACACTTGCCGTACTAATGATCTCAGTTGTTGACGCGAAAACGGGACGGAAAATGCTGTTTAATCTTCCTTGTCATCCAGTTTAAACATAAGGATATTTTACAAATGATGTAAAAAGATGCATGATGTGGGCCAGTGATTTCATGGATGGAGAGAATTCCATAGATTCTTCTTCTTAAAGAAGTATTTATTTTTTCATTCTATTTTTACATTCATATGTTGTGGTTATTATGACATACAAAGGATGAACAACTTCGTGCATAGTTTCCTCAATTTAACAATGTAGATAAAGAACGATGTAGAAATAAATTTCGGACAATTGACAACCTCCTATTGCATTGAGTACGATTACATGACGTTCCAAAGAGAAAAATGAAAAATATCTATAACAGGCGGATTCAGACCATTTTAGGACGGGGTCATTTACAGTTCGGACTTTCTCGTCCACAAATGTGTCCGATAAAATTAAATGATACTTTTTCAACGCGCATTTCTTCTTGCAATGACATCCGTCTGGGCCTAATGGAAATACATTTTTGGAATGTGATGCGAACATATATCGAAATTGTTTTAATAATTTGAATGAAATTACAAAACAAATATTAGATCAAGGGGAACATGTCCCCCTGCCTCTCTCTCTCTCTCTCTCTCTCTTGTAAATCGTACACTCTTTCATAATCTATTTTGCCTACCATGAACCTTTTTTCACAAGGCGACACGGCTTTGAGTGTTCCTCAGCTTGTATGAATGAGGTTAGCTCACACTCACGAAATGCTTTGCTTGTCTGTCGTTCGTTTTCGTGGTAATGCCATATTATTCCGTCTGTCTTCATACAGACACATCCAGACTTCAAACTATCCAACAACTGTACTTCCACTTTGTATGCAAATAACGTGTGTGCAAGTGTAATAAATGTATCTTAATTGATTTTAATTTAAAATAAATACACACCATAATGAATTAAAATCAAATGATTTCATTTACAAGCATTATTACGTGAAATAAAATAAATTAACATATGAATTAATAAACTATTGCAGTCATGATAGGGGCGAAGAAGAGTTTGAAGAGTTAAATAATGTGCATCTTTACTCCTGTTAGTAACATTCCTGAGCCAGATTAAATATTATTGAATTGAAATGTATGTTGTGACCGAAATGTATTGAAAATATTAAATTCTCATAATCAAAAGTCATTAATCGAATACAACTTGAAGTTCGCCAATCGTAAACCTGAAAAATGAAGGTTATGAACAAGCTATATGTTTATCCTGTGCTTCGATACTTGAAGTTAGCGTCTTCCATATTGAACTTAATAAACATTATACAGCTTTCAGGAATTGCGTCTACGACATTCTTACGACTAAGTATTGGGTTCATTAATATTTTGTGTGCAATAGTAACAAATTGTTTTTCAATTTTATTCATAAGATGTTCATAAAGGGTTACATTTACATAAATGTCTGTCATTTAGAGATATATAAACGAATTCACAAATAATGTTTATTTTTAGATCAGTATATGTTATGATGTACTTATAATGGCATTTCTGT